TTTATTGTGTAGTTCAGTTAAATACAGTACAGTTTTGGTGTCCATTTAAGAATACTGGCTAAGATTATTTTATTTTGCTGGTAATCACATTGTAAAGTTTTTTCTTCTACTTTGGTGTGAGCTTCGGTTCTTTATTAAGAATTGATGTTTATAGTAGTAGTACCATTACTGTATCCTCCTTGTAACTTTGTATGTGCTTTAACCATGAGTTTACTTTTATAGGATTTCTATAATTGGCCTGATGAATCATTTGATGAAATGGACAGTACACTTGCTGTTCAGCAGGTAATAAAGTTTTCTTTTATAACCCTCATAACAAATGTTTTATATCTTTAATATGGTTGAACATTCCCAATTTGTGTGTGTGTGGCGCAAAGCAGATCCCACTGGGTTAATGGAATGCTCATTTATTTTAGTTTGTCAAGAAATTTGAATGTTTAATAAATTAAAATTAACATTAATTGAGTGACAAATTAGAATAACTAAAAAGAAATAAAATGCTAATTTGGTGACCAAACCTTTGATAACAGGCTTTTGAGACATATTTTTTTAATGATTTTAGTTCATAACTCACACCCTCCAGTAAGTGTGAAAACTGAGATGCTTTCCTTTAGCTCATGACTGCTATCACATAGCTCACTATAGCATTGATTCCCAAGGAGGGGCTTCCATCAATACCTTTTGTGATAGCATACTAGGAGATGCTTAGGCAGTGTGTTGAGAGTCACTTAGTATACTGTGTTAGGTTTAATCCTTCTCCCTCCCCACCCCAGTGGAAAAAATGGTGGTTCTTTCATATTGAATGGAATTAGGAGTTTGGTGGAAAAATAATATTCATGGCTAATTGTTAAAGATCTAATTAAGGGATTAATTGTGTTGTGGTTGCCTGTCAGTACTCTAACATGGAGTAGGAAAGGGTTCATGAGCATCCTACCCCTAGTTTAAGTGTTATTGATAATTGATGGCTTCTGGGGAAGAAAAGTTAGTTTTCCTTAAGGATATGGTTCCTAGTAGTTCAGCAATGATCCAGTGAATGGTCCCATACCCAGAAGTATATGGACACACAAATTGTAAAAAGAGGCCATGAAGTTGAGGGTATAAGGAGTAGGGCGTGCCTGGGAACCTTTTAGGGGAAGAGTTGGGGTGGATAAAATGAAAACATACTGTATGAAGTTCTCAACTAATAAAATGAATAAAAGGATTGCAGAAATTGGAATATACAGGGGCAAGAGGTGTGGCTCAGTGGTAGAGCACTTGGATAGTATGCCTGAGGAGCTAGGTTTGACTCCCCAGCACTGCAGTAAAAAGAAAGAAGGTGATATTCAAAAAGAAAAGTATGTCTGTAAAGTCACAAAACCAACAACAAAAACCAAAACAACAACAAAACCCACCCACCCCCTGACTGTGGGCAAAGAGACACATTGGTGGTGGTGGTGTTCTGTATCAGTCAGGGGCAGAGCAGATAGTAGCCCTTTGTTTATCCTAGCTTGATGCCTGGCTTGGTGGCCAAAGCTGTTTCATGCCTAGGGCACATTAAAAACAAAACAAAACAAAAAAAACCAACAAAACCCAAAGAAATTGGCATGAAATAGGCATGATTAGGTGTGGGTTAAGTAACATTTTTATTGTACTATTTTTTAGGGGTTAGGGGAGGTCACTGTGCTGGGGATGAAACCCAGAACCTCACACATGTTAAGGAAGCACTCCACCACTGAGCTATTCCCAGACTTACAGCTAACCTCCTTATATTTGAAGTAAATTTCCTATAGTCAACATAGAACTGGGTCATATTTTTTCATTTTATTCATCTCTATTTCTATATTATGTTCTGTTAAGATTAATATAATTATTTGCAGATATGTATAGACTTAGGTTAGCTTTTATTACTTGTTTTCAGTTTGTTCTCTTTTTTTAAAAAAATTGCAGTTTATTTGTGTGTATGTATTTTTGTGTGCCTGAGGGTGTATGATCACACTAGGTGCATGGTGTAAAGCCTGCAGAGGTCAAAAGAGGACATTGGATCTCCTGGAAATGGGGTTACAGGCACTTGTCAGCCACCATGTGGATACTGGGAACTGAACCCATTCCCTTGCAAGAGTAGCAAGTGCTCTTAGCCACTGAACCTACTCTCCAATGGGGCTGGAGTTGGAGACTAGAGGCCCCTTTTTGAGATAGGCTCTCACATTTGCCAGGGTGATCTCAAACTTGAAATACAGCCAAGGATGACCTGTCCTCCACTTTCCTAGTACTGGCATTAGAAGTATGCAACAATATATCTGGTTCATGTGGTCCTAGGTTTGTAACTTGGGCAGGACTTCATAAATGCATGTTGTGTTTATCTTTTTATTCTAGTTAATCCTTTCTTCCCTTCGAAGGGTTATTTGAACATTTTAGCATTATGTTTTAATTATAATTTTGACTGTGTCTCTGATTTTTTTGGTGATTGCAGAGAATACTAAAGTCATAGTCTACTTAAGTAGGAAAGTATTTTATTATTACAGTTGAAAGCCTCTTTACCCTTACATGGATTCCTTTCCCTCACTAGTTTTATTTATTCCTTGTTGCCTTATATAACTATAGACATACATTGAAACCCAATCAAGACAGTAATATTTTCTTTTGGAAGCACTGAAGATTGAATTTAAGACCTCATAGGTAGTAGGCAATTTCTCTACCATTGTACTATATATCTCCAGCCCACTTTTGTTTTGTTTTGTTTTTGGAGACAGAGTTTCTCTGTGTAGCTTTGGAGCCTATCCTAGCCCTTGCTCTGTAGACCAGACTGGCCTCAAACTCACAGAGATCCGCCTGCCTCCCCAGCCCACTTTTTAAAAACATTGTAATTTTACTGTGTGTGTTTATCTGTGTTTATGAAGATACATGTAGGCCAAGGTACATGTATGGAGGTCTCCATACATGGTACATGTATGGAGAATATTTGATTCTCCCCTTCTGCCTTGTTTTGGTTTCAGGGATTGAACTCGGGTATAGATTTGTGAAGTAAGCACCTTTACTTGATGAGCCATTTCATTGATACAATGTTTGTTTTATTTTGGCTTGAGACAGTTTCATTCTATAGCCTAGTCTGACCTTGACATGTGGCACTCTTATTTTGACTTCCCAAATGCTGGGATTAGGGACATGAGGCACCATACCCAACTTCAGTGTTACTTTTGTCCTATTGAGACACAGTCTCACTGTTTAGCCCTTGCTGGTCTATGTAGACCAGGCCACTCTGCCTTCAAAGTTTTGGATTAAAGGTTTTCACCACTCTGCCTTGTATTTCTGTTACTTCTAATGTTTCAAAAATTCCTTCTATTTTTATCTCTCTGAAGAACTTTTTAGCATTTTGCTTTAGCATAGTTTGCTGTCTAGGGTTTCTCTTAAGTTTTCTTTTGCTTGGTTGCTTGTTTTCCTTTTGGTGCGGGGAGTCCAGAACCTTGCAAACACCAGCAAATACTGTGGCCTCAGCCTTCCATTTTCTTTCATTTGAAAATATCTTTATCTTCATTTGTTCAGGGCATTTGGAGTTGTGGGTTGACAGTTCTCTTAGTACTCCTTTCATTTTTAAGCCCATTTATTGGGGGAGATATGTGGGTATACACACATGTGGCTGTCAGAGGACAGCTTGAAGAGGATTGTTTCTTTCCAACTTGTGGATCCTAGAAATCAAACTCAGGTTTGTCAGGTGGATGAGCCATTTTTCTGGTCCTCTTCTATAGTTTTTGATGAGAGAGAAGTGGCTAATTGAATTCTATACATCATGTGTCTTTTCGTTTAGTTTTTCTATTAGCCATCATCACTTCAATGAAATATTTTAGAGTCTAAAATGTAGACAACCTGTCTCAAGAAAACCTGTCTCAGGTCATGGTTCTGGAGGTCTTACTTCATTTTTTTTCTACAGACAAGGTTTCTCTGCAGCAGTCCTGACTGTCCTAAAGCTTGATCTGTAGACCAAACTGGCCTCAAACTGACAGAGATCCACCTGCCCCTGCCTCCTGTGTGCTGGGATCCCCATTGCTGGGATCAAAGGTGTGTACCACCACCACATGGGGGTTCTGGAGGTTTTAGTCTGAGATTAGATGGCTTTATTGCTTTGTGCCTCAGTGATAGTGTTAGATAACAACTGTGATCACTAAACCACTCAGTTTCTTGGGGACACTATTCCTATTCAAACCAGAAGAGAACTTATCCCCACTTCTAAGGGAGTGCTTTTTTCACTCCTGAGCTAGAACTGGAAATATTCTCTTGGATTAGTGATTCTCAACCTTCCTAATGTTGTGGCCCTTTAATATCGTTCCTCATGTTGTGCTAACCCCCAACCATAAAACTTTGTAACTGTAATTTTGCTACTGTTATGAATTGTAATGTAAATGTTTGTCTTTTCTGATGGTCACAAGTGACCCCTGTGAAAGGTTGGGAACTGTTGTCTTAGATTTTAGTATCATAATATTCACTTTGGGGTTTTTGGGAAGGGGAAACTGGAGAGAGCAGTCAGCAAGCTCACTGCAGTTCAGTGGTGCTCTGTTCCTTCTGCTGGTTCTGTTTCAGGGACCTCAGATAGCAGAGCCACGCACATTCTTTCCAGGTTATGCTTTCATTCAATGGGAGAGGGAGATTGGTACATGTTTATTCCATCTTCTCCCAAGTTGGAAACAATGAAATAATTTTGTATGGAGTTACATTATGTACTTGATGGCTTCAAATCACTTCTAAAAACTGCTTTAGAAAAAGTCTCACATAAAATATAGTTTTAGGTCATTATAGTTATACTTCAAGGGTTAAATATAACAGAAAGAAAGATGTTCTGCCTTTAAAAGAAACCAAAACTCCACTTGATTTCCTACTAAATTTGTCATTTGTATACCCTAAATTATTACCTAAATACTACCTAAATAACGTACTCATTCTTAACCTAAATTACTACCTAAAAAAAAAATACCAATTACTACCTGAATAAAATTACCTAAATACTTCCTAAATGACCTACTCATTCTTACCCCTTTTCCTGCTGCATCTTTTTTTTTTTTTAAAAAAATATGTATTGATGTTTTGCCTGCATGTATATATGTGAGAGTGGTGGCTCCCCTGAAACTGGAGTTACAGACAGTTGTGAGCTACCATGAGGGTGCTGGGGACTGAACCTGGGTCCTTTGAAAGAGTAACCAGTGCTCTTAACCTCTGAGCCATCTCCCCACCCCGACTACATCATTTAAAGAGCTCTTAATAGAGACTGGAAAGATGGCTCAGTAATTAAGACCACTTACTGCTCTTGTAGGGGAACCCAGGTTAAGTTCCCAGCACCTATGTGTCAGCTCACAATCACCTGTAATTAAGTTCTAGGGAATCGGACTTCTAGGGTATTCTGAATTTTAGGGTATTCTGGCTCCAAGAGCCCCTGCATGCATATGGTTCACACAAATTAGTCGCATACACATGAAAATAATCTTTAAAACCCTCCAAACTCTTGGGGCTGGAGAGATGGCTCAGTGGTTAAGAGCACTTTGCTGTTCTTCAAGAGGACCTGGGTTCAGTTTCCAGCACCCACATGTCACAGCAGTCTGAAAGTCCAGTTCCAGGGGTTTGGATACTGTCTTCTGACCTCAGGGTATTCAGCATCCCACCAGGTGGAAGCAGAAGGAAATTCTGTCTCAAAAAAAGACTAATAGGGCGGATGAGATGGCTCACTGGGTAAAGGCACTTGTTATCGAACCTGCCTGGTGATGGTGAAAGGAGAAACTGAGTCCCACAAATTGTCCTCTGACCTCCACATACCCATGGTACATTAGGGAATGGAAAAAAATTTAAAGATTCCCCAAAAACAGTTTTTTTACTCATTCATAAGAAGCAAAACCCATCTCTTTTATCCTGATGTTGTAGCAACCCAGTCACATCTTCAGGTCCTGTTTTTTTTTTTTTTTTCCTTTGTTTTTGAGACAAGGGTCTGACTGTAGCTCTGGCTGTCCTCACACTTGACACACAGCTGAGGAGGGTCTTGAGCTTCTGATCTTCCTGTCTCTACCTCCCAGGCACTAGGATCACAGGTGGGCACCATCGTGCCTGGCTGTGATGACTGTTTAGTTGTCTTGAAACTAAAAATAGTAGTGCTTTTATTGATTGCAGATAACTTTCTTATTAATTACACAGCATTAGTCTAATAAACTTTGTAGCTTACCAAGAATAATCTGAGTTTTGGTAGCATGTTTAATGAGTGTTAAATCCTGGGGTTGGAGAGATGGGTCAGAGGTTAATTAAGAGTTGCTGTTCTTGAACCCACATTAGGTGGCTCAGCCACCTGCAACTCCAGTTTCAGGGAACCTGATGCCCTCTTCAGCCTCAGGCACTATCCTAATTACAGTTAACATTGCTGTGATGAAACAACATGTTCAAAAACAAGTTGGGGAGGAAAGGGTTTATTTGGTTTATGCTTCCCTATCTGTAGTCCATCACCAAAGAAGGCAGGCAGGACAGGAACTCAGTAAGGGCAGGAGCCTGGAGGCAGAAGCTGATGTGGAGGCCACGGAGGGAGCTACTTACTTAAGGCTTGTTCCTTGTATTATGCTCAGTCTGCTTTCTTGTAAAACCTGGACCACCTGTTCAGGGATGGCACCACCCACATGGGCTGGGCCCTTCCCCATCACTCACTGTATTATTCAAGGTTTTCCAAAGAACAGGCTGATAGAATGAACATATATTTATTTTAAAAGAGATTTATTAGAATGGCTACAGGCTGTGGTCTATGTACTCTAAAGAGTGGCCTTACACATGTAAGCTTTCTACCACTGAACTGCATGCCAGCTCATTTGGCCTTTATCATGGATTTAGTCACTAGGGTAGCATTTTAGTGCCTTCAAGAACTTTTCCTTTCCATTCACAGTGTGGCTCCAGCTAGCACAGGAGCCACTTTCTAGTCTGTCTCAGCTTTCTGAAAGGGTTTCCTCACTAAGCTTAGTAATTTCTAGCTTTTGATTTAAAAATGATGGACAGTTGACTTCTCTTGAATTTACTTGAGTAGTTAGAGACTATTATTAATTGTCCCATTTTTAATGTTGTGCTTTAGGGACTTGAGGAGAGGGAGAAATGTGGGAATGGCTGGTCAGTGAGATAATTCAGAGCATAAAACATTTGTGAATTTTAGTTACCATCTTATATGAGCATAATTCATTATGCCTCCCCAAACAATTAAAATAACATCATTAATAACAGGTCAGTACAACAGATATAATAACGAAAAAGTTTGAAATATGAGCCTATGAAAACAGGATGAAGAGATGGGATGTAAAGTATGTAAATACTATTAGAGAAGGGATGCCAATACACTGTGCAGGCCAGCCACATTCACTTGTTAGAATAGCAGCAGCAATAACAATAAACCCACAGGACTGAAAAGTGTAATAATGTGAAGTACAATAAAAATGAGCTGTTAACAGACTGAACAGATTGTATGTATGTATTTAGGAATATATTTGGATATACATATGTGTATATAGCAATTAATGAAAAAGGAGGCCATGAAATTGAAGGAAGGGAATATGGGAGGGTTTGGAGGGTGAAAATGGGTAAATGATATACTTTTATTATAATATCAAAGAATGAAAAATAATTTAAGAAATGCATTAAGTGTTATGTTGGTGGAGGTAGCGACTTGGAAAGAATTGTTATGTGGAATTTGAGATGATCCAGGATTAGTTGTATTTATCAGAGAACCTCAAAACATAAGATCATTATGATAAGGTGGAAAAAAATTCTGAGAAAATTCCAGTCATCTTGTGCCTATACTAGAGTCTTTTGGGTGGCTGAGGTAGAAAGATGACGTGATTGCCAGACTAGTCAGGCAACAGTGAGAACCCATTCCATCCCCGCCAATCCCTACAATACAAGAGACTCAAATAGGAATTCAAGTCCAGTGTGCCTATGATTTCATCATTAAGAAGGCCAAGAATTGATGTTTGAGTTAGCCTTGCTGGTGCATTCCTTTAATTCCAGCACTCAGAAGGCAGAGGCAGATTGATCTCTGTGAGTTGGAGGCTAGGACAACTAGATCTTCATAGTCTCAAAGAAAACAGAACTATTAAACATATTTAGCATCCAGTAAAATTTAATTAACCACAGACTTCTTTCTTTATAGTATATCCAGCAGAATATAAGGGCAGACTGCTCCAATATTGACAAAATTCTTGAACCACCTGAAGGTCAAGATGAAGGTGTATGGAAGTATGAACATTTAAGGTAGGTCTTTATGAAATTTCAGAACAGTACTAACAGTTGTAGTAAGAATATACTAATAAGTACTTCCTAATGATAATTATGAATCAAATTAAATTTGGGTAAATCAGAATGCCAAATTTTACAGCTTTTTTTTTTTTTTAAGATTTTATTTATTATGTATACAACATTCTGCTTCCATGTAAATCTGCACACCAGAAGAGGGCACCAGATCTCATAATGGATGGTTGTGAGCCACCATGTGGTTGCTGGGAATTGAACTCAGGACCTCTGGAAGAGCAGCCGGTGCTCTTAACCTGAGCCATCTCTCCTGCCCCGTTTCACAGCTTTTGTGTCTTCTGGTTATTTTGAGGAAAAATCTCATGTGGTAGCTCAGACCTTGAATTCCCTATACACCTGTCTTCACCTCCTAAATGCTGGGATTGAAGACAAGTGTTATCACAGCTAGCATTGATCTCAAGCTGTCAATCCTCCTGCCTCAGCCTCCTGAGCACTAGAGTGATAGCATGCAATTGATGATAAGAAATTGTTCATTCCTTCTTAGTCATACCTTGATTGAGATCTCACTGAATCTTTGTGTTTAAGAAAAGGTGCCCCTTAGAAAGGCTGTAATCCCATGGCAGGATGTGTGGATTTTAGCTCTTTTCACCATGTAGCTGTAACAGTTTTTGTCTTTTTGAGACAGGTTTCTCTGTGTAACAGCTTTGGCTAGCTATAGGTTTTGTGTGTGTGTGTGTGTGTGTGTGTGTGTGTGTTTTGTTGTTGTTTGTTTGGGTTTTTCAAGACAGGGTTTCTCTGTGGCTTTTGGAGGCTGACCTGGAACTAGCTCTTGTGGACCAGGCTGGTCTCGAACTCAGATCCTCTTGCTTCTGTCTCCCGTGTGCTGGGATTAAAGGCTTGCGCCACCAACGCCCGGCTGGTTTTTATTTTATTTTTTTATTTTAACACTTTATTTTTTTTTTTTAAGATTTATTTATTATGTATATGTCATTCCTCATGCATCCCTGAAGGCCAGAAGAGGGCACCAGATCTCATTATGGATGGTTGTGAGCCATCCATAATGCTGGGAATTGAACTCAGGACCTCTGGAAGAGCAGTCAGTGCTCTTAACCACTGAGCCACCTCTACAGGCCTGATTTTGTTTTTTTGAGACAGGGTTTCTGTGTATTGTTTTGGAGGTTGTCCTGGCACTCGCTCTGTAGACCAGACTGGCCTCGAACTTACAGATATCTGCCTACCTTTGTCTCCTGAGTGCTGGGATTAAAGGCGTGTGCCACCACTGCCCGGCCCAGGCTTTTTCTTTTAGGCCACAAACCAGCTCCCAAATCATGACACAGAAACTTGATATTAGTTTTGAATGCTCGGCCTTATCTTAGGCTTGTTTCTTGCTAGCTCTTCAACTTAGCCTGTTTCTCTTCATCTACGTTTTGCTTTGGAGCTTTTTACCTTTCTTTCCGTCGGTATGTCCTATTCCATCTAGCTGGCTGGTGGCTGCCTGGCTGGCCAGCCAGCCCTGGGCATCTTTCTCCCATGGATTTCTCTTCCTTATCTCTGCTCACCAGCACCACCTGTCCGTTTCCTGCCTAGCTATTGGCCATTCAGGTTTTTATTAGACCAAAGTATTAGGCAAAGTAAAACAGATGTAACACATTTTTACATAATTAACAAATGCTGAACAAATATAACACATCTTTACATCATTAACAGAGGCAGTACAAATAAATATAATACACTTTCACATAAGTATTCCACAGCATAAACAAATGTAACACATCTTTGCCCAGTTAAAACAATGTTCCACAACATGTAGCTCTGTAGTAGTAGGTTATTTTGAAGTTGCCTGATTATACTGTCAAATGAATTAGTTGGATAGGGAAGCCAATGCTTATCATTGCCAACTTTTTTTTTCTTAATACACCTCACTTTTATTTGTAGATACTTTTTTGTTTTGTTTTGTTTTGTTTTTGTTTTTTGAGATAGGGTTTCTCTGTGTAACAGCCCTAGCTGTCCTGAAATTCACTTTGTAGACCAGGCTGACATTGAACTCATAGAGATCCACCTTTCATTGTCAACCTTTATTACTGCTTAGTGAACAATCACTCAGAACTGCATAAAATTAATGGAGGTAACAGGTGATTCAGCAATAGTACCATTTAGTATGATATATCCTCTGTCAATAGTGTTACTTTATAGTCTAAGGTTACCCAACATTTGGAAAGGAAGCATAGGAAAATTTATCCTTTCCCTTTTGTTTTCTTCCATTAAAATATACTTAAATAGGCTGAGTGTGATGGCAAGCCAGATCTGCTCTATACGTATATGGAGTTCCAGGCCAGCTGGGACTACATAGTGGGAAACCTGTCTCAGCAACAAAGCAATAAATAAAAGTAGTCTTAAATAAATGATGTTTTTAGTTAATTAGTTTCATATATGTCCTTTTTCTTTTTACTTCTGTTTTGGTACCTGTTTCATCTTCAAAACCTTCCTTGATTTCTCTCCGCCTTATTTGTTGAGACAGAGTCTCAACTGAACCTTGCTCAGGGGATCCCCTTTCTCCACATGGGCCACCATGCATTTATTTATATCGGTTTTGGAGTTTGCAACTTGGGTCTTCATACATGCATAGCAGGTGCTTTGCTCACAGTGGTCTTGGACAAAGTTACAGAGATCCGCCTGCCTCTGCCTCCCAAGTGCTGGGATTAAAGTTGTGTGCCACCACTGCCTGGCAATAAATAAATCTTTAATAATAAATAAATCGCTTTTGTTTTTTTGAGACAGGGCTTTTCTGTGTAGCTCCGGCTGTCCTGGAACTCACTATAGAGACCAGGTGGTCTCAAACTCAGAAATTGGCCTGCCTCTGCCTTCTGAGTGCTGAGATTAAAGGTGTGGACCATTATGTCTGACTAAATTTAAAAGTTCTAGTCTCAGCCAGATGATGGTGGCTCATGCCTTTAATTCTAGTGCTCAGCAGAGGCAGGCCAATCTGAGTTTGAGGCCAGCCCGGTCTACAAAACAAGTTCCAGGACAGCCAGGGCAACACAGGGAAACCCTGTCTCAAAAAACAAAAATAAAGGGAAAATAAAAAGAAATTTTATTCTGCAAAAAGATTAGTATTTTTTTTTGCGTGTAACTGCATATAAAAATCAATCATAGTAACTGTAGTTATCAATCATAATCAGAAGTTTTCTCATATGTATACATGGTTAATGCGAGCATCTTTGTAACAGAATTGTATATAGTTCTGACAATTGAATTACAGTAGATTGATTCTCAGAGGACTAATTATTCAAAAAGTACATGCTTTCCTAGAGTCTTGGTGAAATTTCTAAGCCGCTTTCCAAAAAAATTAAATGAGTTCCTAGTGTATAGGAGAGTAACCAGCTTGGCATCCTTACGAAATAATACAAGAAAATAAATAAACAAAGCCTGGATAATAAATGTGACTTTTGCATTTTTAGGCAATTCTGTCTTGAACTAAATGGACTTGCTGTCAAACTTCAGGTAATGTTTTGTTGTTACAACTATAGTTCAAAGTTCTGATTTATATTTTTTAAAAATTTTTTATTTTATGTATATTGGTGTTTTGCCTGCATGAATGTCTTTATGAGGGTATTGGATCCCCTGGAACAGGAGTTACGATAGTTGTGAGCTGCCATGTGGATGCTGGGAATTGAACCTGGTCCTCTAGAAGAGTAGTCAGTGCTCTTAACCACTGAGCCATCTCTTCAGCCCCCAAAGTTCTGATTTTTAAAAGTAGTTTAATATGCTTAGATTTACCCAAAGTTACTAATTATTTTCTTTTTTTTGGGGGGGGGGGCGTTCAAGACAGGGTTTCTCTGTATTGTTTTGGAGACTATCCTGGAACTCGCTCTGATAGACTAGGCTGGCCTCGAATTCACATATCTGCCTGCCTCTGCCTCCCGAGTGCTGGGATTAAAAGCATATGCCATCAACACCTGGCTCTATTATTTTCTTTTTACCTTTTTTTAGAAATATAGTAACCCAAATGACAAGTCTTTTCATTATCATTCTACATACTAAAAAACATAATTATTTTTAACAGAGCGAATGCCATCCAGATACGTGTACTCAAATGACAGCAACTGAACAATGGATTTTTCTTTGTGCAGCTCATAAAACTCCAAAAGAGGTGAGGATTGGGAGGTTTCAGTACCTGGTCACTTGACACCATCACTGTGGGCCTGAGGTGAGGCCAGACATACCAGTAGGGAACATTTGGTGAAGCAAGTCTGTTTATGTAGCATCTGAGAACAGAGAGCAAGAGGCCAGGGTGCCAATGTTCCCTTCAAGGACACTGCCCCATGACCTACTTCCTCCATCTAGGCCCCACCTCCCAAAGTTTCTACCACTCCCTGAGAGACCATGTGTGAACCAACCTTTCAACAGATGAACCTTTGGAGGATATTTCATATCCATATTTGAACAGAAACATTGTGGAATATAGTGGACATAGTTGTATGTTAGAAGTGTATGTAACACTGCTGAACTTGGTTTTTTTTTTTAAGATTTTTTTATTATGTATACAACATTCTGCTTCCATGTATATCTGCACACCAGAAGAGAGCACCAGATCTCATGGTTGTGAGCCACCATGTGGTTGCTGGGAATTGCACTCAGGACCTCTGGAAGAGCAGTCAGTGCTTTTAACCTCTGAGCCATCTCTCCAGTCCCTGAACTTGTTTCATATGTGTGAGTGTAATGCTTTTGTATGCACTTGTATGTGCAGGTGTGTACATGTGTTGTGGAGACCAGAGGAGGATATAGCCTTACCTTACTCCCATGAGGCATGGTTTGTAGAACCTGGAACTAGGCTGGCAGCCAGCAAGCACTAGAGATCCTCTTTTTTACCCTCTCTGCCTCCCTCTGTATGATAACTATAACCTGTGTAAGTTACTGGTCATTCAAAGCTTCTGTTTCTCAAGTTCTACTGAGTGCTAGAGTAGATGATCTAGTGTTCTTCCTGTTCCTAAAGTTGTCTTCTTTGGGTTCAGTGTTGGGAATGAAAGTAGTTAATTTATCTTCTAGAAGCCTGGTACTATAATTCATAGTAATAATCAAGCTTTTAAAAATTTATTATTTATTTATTTATTGATACAGGTTTTTTTTTTTGTGAAGCCTTGGCTGTCCTGGAACTTACTCTACAGACCAGGCTGGTCTCAAACTCATAGAGATCTAACTGCCTCTGCCTCCTGAATGCTGGGATTAAAGTCATGAGCCACCATGCCCAGCTAACTTTTTAAAATTGATGTTATATATTTCATAGTCATTCTAAAATCAGAAGGGGCTTTTTTTCCTTTCTTTTTTCTTCCCATTTTTTAGGACAGGGTTTCTCTGTGTAACATCCCTGGCTGTCCTGGAACTAGCTTTGTAGGCCAGGTTGGCATTTGTAGACTTGCTGGAATTAAAGGTGTGTTCCACCATTTCTGGCTGGGACTTAAGATTTCTTAGAATATGGTTATATTTTTAGAGTATGATCCCTAAGATGGTTAGTATTAGCTGTGGTCTTGATTGGATTGAGAAGAGAGTTAGGGGATGAATAGAGTCTGTGTGGGGATATTAGAGGGCATTTACAGACACCTAAGTCATGACAGCCCTGGCCCAGTAAATGGTTTAATATCCTGAAGAGAGATGGTGGGACCTGGAAGCTAATTTGGTTAGAAGAAGCGGAACACTGGAAACTCATCCCTGAAGGGTGTTTTCTCACCTGCCCCTTCCTGCCTTTTCTGTGCTTCCTGGCTGCCCTGAGTTGGTGATCCTTCCCTGCCAGGATCTTCCACTACAGCGCACTAAAACTTCTGAATTGTGAGCTAGAAGAAACTTCTCCTTCCTCCTTTATGTTGCTTTTGTCAGGTATTTGATTACTATGCTAAGAAAAACTAGCAAATATATACCCGTTTTTTAATGCATTGAAAATTTTTCTCTTTTCTAGTGTCCTGCTATAGACTATACAAGACACACACTTGATGGTGCTGCATGTCTTCTGAATAGCAATAAATATTTTCCCAGCAGGTAAACAAAACTTTAAACATGGTATTGAGCTATTTGGGTTTCATTTAAAAGATTTGATATTTGAAAGTAGTTAAAATTTTATAATTTGGTTATAATTTTTTTAAATAAGTATATAGTTAACTTGTTCAGATTTGAAATTAAGGTTGTGGTTAAACATCAGAACTTGTTTCCCTAAGCTCAGAAACCAGTTTAGTCAGTACTACTTCCCACTGCTGTGTGTTGTTCCTTCTCCAGGCCTCTCCTCACCACCCGCTAGGCTCAGCCTCCTCTAATGAAATAAAGAGCAGACTTTCGTAAGGGAGACTGCTTGTTTTTGCTTATTTTCTCCTGTAGTGATTTTAAGCAAAATGCTAACATACATTTAATTGTATATAATATACATATATGATATACATGTATAGCATGCATTTTATTATGTACATAATGTATTTTGATACTGTTCACTCTGTACTCCTCTCTTACCTCACTCATCCCTTTTCCCACTATCCCCCCTCTATTTGCTTTCTCTCCCTCTTTCCTCTCCCCTCTTTCCCTCTCTCTCTTCCTCCCTCTCTCTGTTGCCCCTTCCTCACCCCATGTGTGTCCCCCCAATGACCTTCATTAGGTACATGGATGAGTTTGTTTACAAGAGCATTTGCACTTTGCCGCAGTGTGTTTTCCTCCCCCATCAACAGTTAACAGAATGTATAAATTCTCAGGGAGAAGTGGGCCTTCCCTAGTCCATGACAGGTTGACGTGTCCACAGGTAATTACAGCGTTGTGAGGTCAAGAGGGCTTCACCTATTTCACACCTGGAAGCTAGCGTCCTACACTTCTCCTCCATCTCTAACTCTTACATTATTAATTCTCCTTCCTCAGTTTCCCTGAGCTTTGAAGGGGGTGGTTCAGATGTCCCATTTGTGGCTGAGCACACAGTAGTAGTCATTTATTCTCAGTATTTTGACCTACTATGAGTCTCTGTAGTTACTCTTGACTCCTACAAAAACAGATTTGGCAGTATGAACAGTTATTTAGAAAGTGACTCCGACAGGCATCATTTCATGTCTTGTTTGTAGGTTTTTCTAAGAGCTGGGGGAAACTGCATGTATTGTATAACTGGTGAGGTTTATGAGTTCTCCCTCCCTCCCTCCCTTCCTTTTTAAAATTGAAAATAGATTTGTTTTTCTTCCATGGTTTATAAATTCTTAAGAAATTATATATGTTTTTGAGACTTGAGTCCCACTATATAGCCTTGGGTGGCCTCCAACTCACTCTATAGATCAGCATGACCTGGAACTCACAGATCCACCTACCTCTTTCTCCCCAGTGCTGGGACTACAGACATGTATAAGCACATCCAGCATGACTGGTATTTTGAGACAGGGTCTGCGTAGCCCATGTTAGCCTTGAACTCAACATCCAGCCTAAGCTCCTCTTGAATTTGGGGTGATCGTCCTGCCAGTGCTTGTAAGTACTGGGATTACAGTGCCTGCTGCACCATACCTGGCTCATGATTGGTCTTTTTATTCTATTAAGGAATTGGGTATTTGTTACAAAGTAGATGGAGTTAGAGGTTTTTTCCCCCTCTAAAATGATTAATTGCACAAACCTCACCTAAAATACTTAAGAGTTAAAAAACACAGAAAATTTCTGATTTTTTTCTCTCCATATCTTGTATTCTAAAAGAGAATTAGAAATATCCATATTTTGATTTTCAAAAATATAAAAGAAACAAAAACAGGTTCTAAAGGACCTTTTAGTAAGTAGTTTCAATTGCCTACATTAGACAAAATACTAATAGTGTAAAATATTTTTGAAGTCTTTGGTATTTTTAACTTTGTTTTAGTAAGTTTTGAGATGTCAAGGATTCATTTTAAGTCATTCTCTTTTAACAAAGTTTCAGAAGTATAGTACTGCTTTTCACTAAGGTTCTGTGGCTGAATAGAGAGGGCACTGGTCCAGGACCAAAAAGCAAACTACTCTTTGCTCTTACAGCACTCTAATCTTGGTCTAGACACTCTTTTCTCTTGAGTGTTGGTTTCCATACTTGGGAATTGAGAAGATTGACCTATGCATTTCTGATATTTTATTCAGCCTGTGAATATCTGGTTTTTCTTCTCTTTTTAGGGTTAGCATAAAAGAATCATCTGTAGCAAAACTAGGATCAGTGTGCCGTAGGATTTATAGAATATTTTCACATGCCTATTTTCATCACCGGCAGATATTTGATGAATATGAAGTAAGTATATGTCTTAGCTTGTTTTACATTGCTGTGGTAAAGACCATGACCAAAAGCAACTTGAATAGGAAAAGATTTAGTTCTGCTTACAACTCTTGGGTTATACTTCACTGAGGGAAGTCAGGGCAGGAACTGCAGCAGAGGCCATGGAGGAACACTGCTTACTGGCTTGTTCTTCAAGGTTTGCTCTGCCTGCTTTCTTTCTGTATCTACCTTGAACTTAGAGAGACCTCCCTGTCTCTGCCTACTGAGTGCTGGGATTATAGGCATGTACCACCACTGCCCAGCTATGTATGTATGTATGTATGTATGTATGTATGTATGTATGTATGTATGTATTTATTTTGGTCTGAGACAGGGTTTCACTATGTACCCCTGACTGTCCTGGAACTCTGTGTAGGCCAGGCTGACCTCAAACTCGCAAAGATTGCCTGCCTCTGGCTTCCAAGTGCTAGGATTAAAGGTGTGTACCGCCATTACCTGCTTGTTTTGTTTTTTGAGACTATATAGCTTTGTCTAACTTAGAGCTCATTATGTAGACCAGGGTGGCCTTAAATTCATAAAAATCCCCCTGATTGAGTATCCCAAGCACTGGGATTAAAGGTTCAGCCTGCTTTCTTATATATCCCAGGACCATCTGCCCAGGATGGCACTGTGTATGACAATCAAGAATATATGCCCCACAGGCCTGCCTGTAGGCCAATCTGGTGAGCCATTTTCTCAATTGAGGCTCCCTCTTCCAAGATGACCCTAGCCTGTGTCAAGTTGACTGACAGCACAGTATGTCAGTAATTCTCTTAATATAGTCTTGTCAGGATGACAGTAATATGTGTTGGTACTGTTTCTAGCCTTTTGACTTTAGATAGTAAAATAACTTTTTTCTTTTTCTTTCTACAGAATGAAACATTTTTATGTCATCGGTTTACTAAATTTGTGATGAAATATAATTTGATGTCGAAGGATAACCTGATTGTACCAATATTAGAAGAGGAAGTTCAGAATTCAGTTTCTGGAGAAAGTGAAGCATGAAGGGAATCATGTCGAACAGTGTACTGATTGCATAATTAACAATTATGTACTGTATATATATCATTTTAGACACATCAATCATGTATCCATATTATAGCTTATTTGTTTAGTATAGGTTTTTGTATGCTATGTGTTGCCTTTTAAAATGGGAAATACATTTTAAGTTATTCATGAGCTGTATATTCACTGGTGTGGCACTCATGGTTTTTAAATAAGTTTAGTATTATCTGTTTATAATGCCTGTTAATAAAAGAATTTACAGTTTGGTAAAATTGCTGCTAAACAATCATTGGATCACAATCCTTTCAAATCTATAAGAGTGAGCTTGGGTTTCACACAAGCTATTTACTAAAGAGATGATAATCTTTAGTTTTACCCCCTAAGTTTTGATATTTTAGAAAATTCAGTAGTATTCCATCTGTACTTTTAACTTTTCCAAAAAGAGATAAAAGTGTTTAAAAGGTCTGTTTATAGTTTTTGTATGCATAACCAATTATGTATATGTTCAGAGAAATGCAATGAGGCGTAGTAATACTTAAATAATCTCACTCTGCTACATAGAGTGTCTTCTAGGTCAGTGTACTTGGAAACAGTATCTTTTTTGTGACAGTGGATTATTAAATACCTGGTGATGATGATAAAGGCACATACATGATGTTCTCATGAACACCTGCCCCTTCTTGTTTCCCTTAGTTCTCTCCCCAAACTACATTAGTCAAGAAATTTATTTACCAAGCTATGGTTAGTGGTGGCTTCTCCCTGTTTATATTTGTATTAATTGCTTACAGAGCATACCTCATACTTGCAGTGACATTACACTACAGGAAGTCTGTACTGCATAGGCTCCTGCCTACCTTTGTTTTGGGAAATTGTTGTAACTACTTAGAAAATAGTCCTTAATATAGTTTGGTTCTTCCTGTTAGTAATATTAATCTTTTTATCTAATTCTAGGCAGCATTAAATACATATGGAAAAGATAGTGTATTTATTTTATTCTCCCTCCCAGAAGCTTATTGTTTGAATTATATGCACATATAAGATTATTTACAGTAATTCACAGGTTCCGGTGGTGTTGATGAGTGGTCATACTTTTTTTTTATTTCTCCAGTCTTAAAAATTTAAGTGCAGATTTAGAACATATTTGGTGAAGTTCCCCTAACATGCTTGGGTCTCAGTGCCACACTGTAATGAGGCAGTAAGATAGGATGGGACTGTGTCTATAGTTGGGACAGTTGAAGCCATCCATCTGTACTGATTTAACAAACACAAGGAACTTCTTTTTATTTATGAGTTATTTTCAAGTGAAGATGAAAAATGCATTTATCTTGTTTGTTTTTCTAATTATTTGAAGAGATGATTTGTATTGAGACAGGTATGTATAGAAGAGCGTGGGAAATGACAGTGTACCGAGAGTGTGTGCATAGTTAGTTGATGCCTGTCCGAGCCTGCCCTGTGCCTGCGGTCAAGGACATCACTGTACCATAGCCGAAACTACCTTTTAAGAAGTTTTATGTTCACAATGAACAGAGCATTAACTGAAATTAGGTGTTTATATTACTGTTGCCATAACCACTGGGGTTAGTAATTTTTAAATTAACTTGGGCAAATATCTGAGGGACTAACCTAAGTTCATAAATCATACGTAGCAATGTTGCTGTTCTCTAGTTGGAGTCTCACAGTGGATTTCTGTCACTTGACTATTTCTCAGTGAACATTTAAGGTAGTGGCTGAGTTACAGATCTGACTGAGTAATTGGAACACTTTGTGAATATATGGTTTAGTGTTAACAGGAAATAAAGGATTTTTTTCTCCTACTCATTTCACCCTCCCTGTAGTGTGTTTTGAAATTGATGATAAAAGAAAAAAAAATCTCCAAAAGCATCAGTTTGTAGTCTTGCTTTTATATTCATTCTGACACTCACTAACTCTTGCTGTACTGTGAAGTTGATTTGTTATAGTAGGGTAAGATCTCAGTGAAACAGCTTGTGCTTTGATACTGTTTGCATTATTTTGAAATGCACGTGTACATGAGTAGTATTTTAAAATGTAGCTGGATCCAGAGTGGTGGGCATGGTTTTAACCCCAGCACTTGGGAGACAGGCAGGTAGGTCTCAGAGCTTAAGGTCAGCCTGGACTACATGAAATCCTGTCTTAAGCATACAGGGTGGTGTGTGTGTGCGTAGAAGTGTGGATCAGCAGTTAAGAGCACTGGCTGCTCTTCTAGAGGACCTGGGTTCAATTCCCAACACCCACATGGCAGCTCAGAACTGTAATTCCAGTTCAAGGGGATCCAATGCCCTCATACAGACAGACACACACATAAAAATCATAAAAAAATACAGGACCTGTGGGGTAGCTGGGCTGATAAAAGTGATTGCTGCCAAGCTTGATGACCTGTTTGGTTCCCAGAACCTGTGAATGAAGGAGAGATCCAACTCCTGCCAGCTGTCCTCTGACCTCTATGCATGCCATGGTATGCATGCACCTATACCCCCACATAAAATGCAAGCTTTAAAATTTAAACAATGATTAATGAGGCAAAGTAAATGTCAGAAAGATGAAAAAGTGGAACTGGAGGGGGAGACTGGTGAGATGGCTCAGTGAGTAAAGGCAGTTCTGCCAGGCCTCATGATGTGGATTCAGTCCCCAGAAGCCACATGGTAGGTAGAAGGAGAAAACTGGCTCCTGTGGGCTGTCCTCTACCTTCCACACAGACGTAGGCATGTGCTACCCCCCAAATAAATGAAGGAAAAATTAAACTGAGAAGATTACTACAGAGCTGGAGTTGGATCCCCAGCACCCATGGTGGTGGGTACACTTGTAGTCCTCTAGTGGAGGAGGCAGACCAGAAGCACTGCGTGGGCTTGCTGGCTACAGCCTAGGTTCCGGGAAGTTCCAGGCCAGTAAGAAACGCTGACTCAAATAACAGGCGCCCCCTCCCTCAACACACACTGAAATGCTACCGGGGAACAATACCGAGATGTCCTCTGGCCCTCGTGCACACACAAGGTTATCAAGCCTGGCTCTGGCAAACACTGATCTTACAAAGAAGTGCAAAGTCAGCATTAATGTGTGAGGGAAGTCCGGCTGGATGTGTATTATAGTGATCTCTGTAGAGATTCACAAGTTAAGGTTGGATTCTCCTACTGCGAATGATGGCTCAGTGCCTCTGATCTCAGAAGTGGAAAAGCCAACGCAGGAAGGTAGCTGAAAATTCAAGTCCAACTTGGTCTGTTTATAGTGTATTCCAGACCAGACTGGCTTACAGAGTGAGAATGTTTCAAAAATAAAAAAGGTCTTATATTCTTTTAATATAGACCATATTGATGGGGCTGGAGAGATGGCTCAGCATTAAGCGCACTTGTTCTTGCAGAAGACCCAAGTTGATTCCCAGCACCCATTTAACTCAAAGCCATCTAGAATTCCAGTTCTAAGGGATCTGATCCTTCTACCAATCTGTACACACGGTGCACTTACATATATACAGGCAAAACAGGCATAAGAAAGGTATTGATAACTCACCATTGCTTCTCTGGGAAAGCCACAATTTAACATACGTTCCCATAAGCAGCTCACACCTGGTTGTGTCCTTTTTGTTTTAACTGGCTTGAGATGTTAAATTTTCATTTCTATGGCAGTTTCTTGGTTAAATTATTGGGGGAGGGGGTGATAGATTTCATGTAGCCCAGGCTGGCCTTGAGTTACTTTTCATCTTGCCTCCACTTCCCAAGTGCTGGGCTTGTGTCTAGAAATTTCACATTTCCCTTTCTCTCTGTCTCATTCTCAGTTCAGTTTTTCTTTTTTTTGGAGATGGTCTCTATCTCTGGCAGTCCTGGAGCTTGCTATTTAGACCACACTGGCTTTGAACTTACAGAGATCTGTCTGCCTCTGCCTCCCAGGGCTAGGATGAGAGGCTTCCACCATTATGCCCAGCCTTGTCAGTTAAATCTTTTTTTTTTTTTGGTTTTTCGAGACAGGGTTTCTCTGTGTAGCTTTGGAGCCTATCCTGGCACTCGCTCTAGAGACCAGGCTGGCCTCGAACTCACAGAGATCTCCTGCCTCTGCCTCCCCAGTGCTGGGATTAAAGGCATGCGTCACCAACGCCCCCGAGTCAGTTAAATCTTTCCTTCCTTCCTTCCTCCCCCCTCCCCCAACACTGCTGGGCTCAGTTAAATTCTTAGTGACAACATTTTAATGTCTAAATTGAATTAGAAATTCATGATTGTGGCCGGGCGTTGGTGGCGCATGCCTTTAATCCCAGCACTCGGGGGGGGGGGGTCTTGGTTAAAGTCTC